TTGAAGTGTCTATCCCCTTATCCTCTGTTTTACCACCCACCCTACCCACGGATTGCATTCCATCTTCACTCCCCTCGAGTCTCCACAGCTTCTGAAACTTTCTTCGAATGGCAAGCTCTCTTTCTTTCACGCCTGTTTGTTCCTTCGCCACAAACAAACCAAGTACTATCTCTATCTCTGCAAATTTGGAAAATTTAGTTGATTGCTTTCTGTTTCTTTTTGTTAATTGAGTGAGCAATTTGATTTTTCTACAGGGGTTTTCATCGAAAGATCGATTGGCGGGAAGATTGTTCGGGTGAATGAAGTGTTTCGGAGCTCTAAAGCTGCAAACTTTCAGTCTTGGGAGGTCAAGGTGAGGCATTTCAGACGAACCCATTTTTCGAAATTTTCGAAACTGTTGCTTTGCATTGATTTCCTTTGCTCTAGCATGTTATTTGGATTGGACCTTTCTATCGACTTGTTTCAGGAAGAAATATATAGCATCGATGGGTTGTGAAATTTTATTTGTGAAAGTAAGAGTGATAAACATGTTCTTAATGTAGTTTCATGGCCGAAAGATGCCCGAGTTTCCAAGTAAATCTCTTTTAAGATTTGGTTATGAGCTTGCTAGAATGCGGGGATTGTTGGATGCCATGGAATGGTAGGATGTAATCGAAAATGTGGAAGCTTTAACAAACTATATCGGATTGAGGGGATGAATGGATGATACGAAACATTAGTCTTGATGAGTGGAACCCTATAGCAGAAAAGAATTGCTACTTTTGATTCGTGTAAGCATATGAGTAGAGGACTTCGTATGCGAATCGGTTGATAGTATATAAAGGGCTGTTCTTTTCCTCAGACTTCACTTTGGTTTTGTGTTGCAGGCTACAGACGGTACTCCAACAGCCAAAGTAAATAGCCTAGTCTGTTCAACATGTGAAGGAAACGGTAAGCAAATAACTGGTCTTTGAATATATCTTATGCTGAATATTGACTTGATACTTTAGAATGAAATTTCTGAAAGCACTCGGGCAACTATTTCCTCATTGTTTTTCGACTCTGGCATGATATATAGCTTCTTGTCTCTCTTTATCTTGGAGGAGTATGGGGCTTAATCGTCTATTTTTTTCCGAATCTGGGAAACTATGCTGACCACTAATCAGATGCTTAATTCAGAAACTAGACACATCTAATTGCAATGTCAATGTGGTTCATCAAGATCCAGAAAAAAACACACAAAGATAGCTGTTTCTTTCTCAGTTTTCCGAAGATCTTTTCTTCAGAGGAAAGAACGTTTAAATTGGAAGCTACTACTCGATACCTTATATTTTGCAAACTGATTTCTGTTATTAATAAAAGTAAAAAAAAATCAAATTGCTCATTTCGTTCTTCCATGTTTATCGGTACATGTCTTAAATTCTGTGATTGCATCATCAGTTCTCATTGCTTTCAAAATCAATTTAATGGACACAGTTTTGATTGAGTTCTTATCTTATTCATTGATGTTCTCCAGTATGTATCATATGCATAGTCAGCCTTTGTCTTGACCCTTTCGCTGAAATATTTTCTTGTTTTATTAGCATCTGAGGATTTCAGCTCACAAGTTTTTCATTTCTGATCCATCAACCAGGTGCAAAAGTGTGTAATCAATGCGAAGGTACTGGAGTTAATTCTGTAGACCACTTCAACGGACAGTTTAAGGCTGGTGGACTATGTTGGCTTTGCAGGTAACCATGTTGCTCCGAATCAAAATCTAATATCATCGTAATTTTCAGGAAGGAACGAAATTAATATTCCTAATAAAGAGATCTCAAACTTCAAATACCGCATGTTGTTCCTTCCCTTCATCTAAACCGACCAGCTTATAGTTCATCCCAATTGGATAAATCCCATTTCATCGTTAAAATGTTAGCTCGACTGTGTCTTTCACCGATTGAAATTTTTGTGATAGTTCTTTCTCATATGTGCTACCATAACATTTGACACTAGTAACCATGTTTTCTTGCAGGGGGAAGAGGGAGATTTTGTGTGGAGATTGCAATGGTGCCGGGTTTTTGGGCGGCTTCATGAGCACACTTGACAGCTAGATCGTTGTGACCTGCAAGGATATACACGATCCTTAGTAAGTCTACCAGAACAAAAAATACCAAAATATGTTGCTCAGTTTGTTGGTATGGTGAAATGTTGTACTTTGTAAACAAGTCAAGAACTCATCTCTTTGATTAGATATTGTAATATTGCTTACTGCATTTTGGTTGAATTACAGTGAGAAAGACAGACTGCGATTTTCTCTTAGTCCACCTCTTGCATCTTCATTGTAAAACGTCTTTCAAGCCTCTCACTCATGCCAATGGAACAATCCTTTTGTTTTAAGTGTTTGATTGTGGTTTATTACGCTTGATCCGTCGTTACCAAAATCATACGTAAAAAAAACTTATGCCTGAACTTGTCGAACTTGTCGAACTTGTGGGAGGCAGCAGCAGCAACCTTCAGCCTTGAACCATCCCGTTCGTCCCTCGGCATCCAGTGACCCATTTCCGCCAAATCAACTTCCCTCGCAATGTATTTTCCTCCTGTTTAGTTGCGGAGGAAACCGCATTGAAATGTTGCATCCCAAGTGAAGCTCAGCTTAAATTTGTAATTTCTGTGTGTTTTGTCGCATTTCTCGGAAACCAAACAGCCATGTTATGCTTAAATTATGCTCTTTAGTTTTTCCTGGTTGGTATCTACCATCTATTTAGATAGAGATATTTTTAGTGTTCTTCAACTTTTATTATGAAACACGCCCGGACACCGAGTGCAAGAAAAATAAAATCATAAAGATCACTTATGCGTAATGCCAAACAAAATAAGGAAAATTAAAGAGAAAAAACTCTGAAAATTTTGAGTTTTAACAATAAGAACAAAATAAAAGGTAAAACATATAGTACCAGAATTAACTTTTTATTGTAAAAATATGATTTTTTTGTTAAAGTAATTAGTCCCGGAAATTTTTCGTTAAGTTCCCAACAAAATAACCACACTATAAAAAACAACAATAACAACCAAGTCCCCTTATCCCACTAAATAGTATCGACTACATAAATTTTACGATTTTGCGTAAGTCTTTCGATAAGATCAAGTACATAATAACTAATGGACTCCTAATTAATTAACTATTACTAATTAATTAACTACATCTATCCATGACGACACAGATTGTGTCCAAACCACACTCGGTTGGGCAGGAAGGTGTTGAAGTCAAAGATAATAGGGTTTGTATGTGGACCCGAGATCTTGACGAACTCAGGTTTCCAACCGTCGGATCCATTCCTCAGAAGGTTGAGATAACAGATGTCGCGCGCACATGGCCCGTCTATGTGGAACTTATCGGAGGAGCACATCTCAAACGTCCTTGAAACTGGATCATCAAGCCTCTTTGCATACACCTAGTTATGCGGATAAAATATAAAGTAAAAGTGACCAAAGCGCTTATGAGTATAAATACTTTTGAGAGAAGCACTTCGAAAACGGAACCTAATTAGTGGTGGTATTACCAACCTCATTGCCGTGAGCATCACCATAAGCAAGGCTGATCCTGTCTCTAGTGGAGGTGGTGGAAGAGCAGCTGGTTTTTATGATCACTGTGTAAGGGCAGCTCCTCTTGGCCTGCAGAGCCGGAGTGAGAGAACTAGAAGCAGCATGCAAACGCAAGAACCCTAACCCTAAAAGGGCAAAAACAAGAGAAAACACAACTTGTTCTGGTTTGATCATGTTTTCCTGTAAATTTCTCTCCTTTTGATTCCAGAAGATGATGAGAAACCAGGTGGGTTTGTGGCTGTTTTATACACTCCTGTATACTCCACTACTTTTCACGAGTCTTTATGGAAAATGACAAGTCGGTTACTGTCTCTTGGTTTGCTCACATTTTTTGTTCCCTTCATGCCCCCGGATAACCATGGTTAATGTACATAATCAATATGATATTTCGTGCAAATGAATATCTGAATTTTTTGTCCAAAATGTTCTTATTTTATTGATACAAAACTGTACAAAGCGGTATGCCTTGGCATATAAATCTTCTTTTTGAGTTTTATTTGTAACTGTAAAAATGTGAAGACAAAATCTCATATCGATAAGGTGCAAAGATTTATAAGATGTGAGGTACTTTCTACATTGTCAATTGATTTTATAAATGAACCTCAATTTTTTCATGGTATAAGAATATGTACGTGCTCTACAAGTAAAGTATGAGGCGTGTGAAAATTAGGTTTGAAAATTCGTCACACGTGCTTAAGAAGGCATGTGAGAATAAAATTCCACGTCATTGAAAGACAAATCAATGCAAGGATTTATAAAATGTTGGATTACTTCTTATGTAACCAATTAGTTTTACGAGAGAACTTCAATTTCTCAAAGAAACTGTGGCTTTACAAGTAAAGTATGAGGGATATAACGGTAATTCGCTCATATAGCACTGCAAGCGTACTGACTGACACACTGAATCTCCGATGCTCAATTAACATCTTTTGATGCAATATTTACTGAATACTGAAAGCTCACCGAGGGAAAAATGGTAATTCCATCTTATTTTGCCAGGTCACTTGAATCATATGCGACCGAGAGATTCACTCTGAATTTTTGTGTCTGAAGTTCGTGAATTTTTGTGTCCGGAGTTCGTGAACTGAGATCGAAATTGTTTTAGAGAGAGAGAGAGAGAGAGAGAGAGAGAGAGAGATCCGTGTAAGTTTTTAGGTTTTGTGAAGGGGCCAATGAAATGGACAAATAAGGGTCGTAGAGCTGAAATTAAGTGGTCATGATCCTTCAGTTAGTGGGAGTACAAACACAGAAATCGAAAGTGAACTTGATCGATCAAGTAGCAGTATTCAAAGCCTATCATGTACATTGTATATTTTAATTTGCTGACATGACATCAATTAACTTGAAATATTGTTAGCTTAGCATTTCATTGCATCTTGATTCTTAAAAAAACCCCATTGGAAACTAGTTTTCAAAAACCGAGTAAAGAAGAAAAGAAGGTGCGGAAATCAATTTTTCTTAAATTAAAAAGGGCTATGCCAAATCTTATTTACGTATTGAAAACAATTGTTTTTCTTTAAGCACAGTAATTGTAATGTCATGTCTCCATCGACAGTTTCCAAAGATTACAACAGCTGCACTGGGAGCAACACAATCATACCAAGTGTGGCAATGGCAATGGCATCATGATAATATGAGACGCAGAATCTCTCCCGAATGTTTGAACGATTTCTCGGTTTCTTCCAAGCAGTGGTTCTTCTCCTCCCTCGTCCAGCTCTGTCGATGCACGCATGTAAAAGTTAAATCAAAGCAAAGAGATGCACATAAGAAGATTTGAAGCAGCAAATTAAATCTACCTCTGCAACTTTATTCAACTTCTCCCTCACATTCTGCAGCAGTTGGGGAAGCTCGCCGTCCCATTTGTAGAATTCCAAGTCCTTTTTGTCTAGTATCATTTCCGCCACCTGAAATTGGGTGACAACAAAATCGAACATGTGTTTGAGACTCGAGAGCTTGAGCTGAGAAAATCAATGGTTTTCTACACGCATAAACGGTTTCTACACGCATAAATCAAAAGCTAGTTATTCATCAATTAGCTATATTGCTATGAACTTAAGTGGACGGCCAATAGTTATTCATCAATTAGCTATATTCCAAGTCCCCGTGCCCTACTTCGGACACTCAACCTGCTCACAAACCAGAGCCAATGTGACATACTCTATGACATGTTTACATGTTAAAATGAGTGGACATGCTTTCCGGCCATTATTTACGTACCTTTTTCCCAATCATTCGCCCGCCAGCTGAATGAGCGAAGTATATATTGTAGAAGTGGCAAATAAATGCTTGAGGATCCTTCTCCGACAGTTCCTTAAGATACTCCGCGTACGTAACACCAGGAGTAGAAGGTTCTGGTATGGCATAACCTTGCTCCTTAAACCACTCCAAATCTTTTGCCAACTTTTCGGACCTTTCCAATCCAGTATTTCTGAACTTGTTGTCTATAGCCAAAAAAGAAAATAGTACAACAACATTACGAGTTAGCTCAGTCACGGCATACATTAACATACTAACAGTACACAAGTACATGTAATTTTGCAAAACTCAGATACATTCATGAACATTTGGAATCTAAGCGGAAGTTCCCGTTATATGAATCCTTAGTTTCCTCATTTCGTTATTCATATCTAAGGGCTCAAACTATTTGATGATAAACAAAACCGAACAAGAATAAACCGTGTTGCTCCGATAAAGTACAGACTGCAAAATTTGAGTGGCAGAACCAATTGTTTGAGAGGAAAACTAATGTAAAGGGCTAGCTACTAATCCTGAGTAATGGAAGGAAAGCGGTATCTCAAACGAATACATTCACAAAGTGAACAGAGAAATTACTAGCAATCCAACTATAATAGCACACAAACAAAGCTATAAAAAGTTGCCTGACGGGGAAACATTCTACCGGGCAGATTGTCGAAGAAAATTTTATCTAATATGGTAAACTGATGCATATATATAACTCGATTTCTTTGAAACATACATGATCAATAACACCTAATGAACACAAACTGATTAACAATGCCTCGGAGCTATAAAACGCGAAATCAAATACGCAAACACGATGAAAAAAGCAATCCACAGAGCCAAAGTATAACATGATCATCCAACACCCAACACACATGATCGAAATCCAAACTTTAACAACCATATTAAAGCCAATATCTTCAACAGAGAAACAACACCCAGAAAACATTCATACAAATACAAATTTGAATTCAAACAACCCCCAAAATAATTCGAGCTTTCAATCTAAAAACAATCAAAAAATTACTCACAAGAAGGAAATGGAGCTTTTTCAACAATCTCTTCAAGGGTATCATAAACCAACTTGCTATCCACCAAAAACTTCAAATACCCATCGACTGTTGGCTCCCACTTGGCCACCGGCCCCTCCTGCGGCTCCTTCACCTCCTTCTCCCCCTCCTTCGCCTGGTCCCTGGTGTGCAACTTCATCGCCACAAACCTCATCTCCTCCACGAACCCCTTCGCCTCCCCCGGGTACCTCTTCTTCGCCTTCTCGGCCGTGGTAGCGGAAACCACCCCGGACGCCGCCGCCGCCTTCGTGGGCACTCTGAAACTCATCCTCCGGAACGAAACAGAGAACTTGTTCACCAATAAACCGGACCTCAAATTTGGTGGTAACTTGAACTGGGTTTTGTTGAAAAGCAATTGGGATTGCGAAACCGGTGTTAAAGAAGCCATTGCAGAAAGTCCAAAGCTTGTAGGAAGAGCAAGTGAGTCGATTGAGTGTTCGAAAACGATGCGTGAACGGAAATTTCAGATTGAAAAAACACAATAAAATAAAAGCAACAGTGACCTTCACGTACTCTTCAAGGCAAAGCGATGGATAATATTTATAAATAAAAAAAAAAAAATTTAAATCGGATTTAATAAAAAAAAATCGAGAATGTTGAAGTCGGTGCAGCGTGGGGTGATGGGTTGCGAACTTGCGAGCGTTGGGTCTCTCTGCGCTTTGTTTCTATCAAGATTCAAACTTTCGAGAAAAGGGAGGCTCTGTTTTCTTGCTTTTTTTTTTCCTGCGTTGGAATTCTAATTTTGCTGCTGAGCCTTTGTTCTTCTGGTTCACGGTTCTTGGTTGGTGGATAGAAGAGAGGAGGATTGTATGCGACGTCGTTTGGCTTGTTTGTTTTGTAAATACGATTGGTAGATGTTTGTGGCTTGGGGACTACTGTGCCGTGGGCAAGTGTGGAACAACATTTGGACTTACTTCTCTGTTCTTTTCTTCTTCGTAAGGACAAGAAACGTCGCGTTGATTTGTTAGCGCCGATTTGGGAAGGTGGTGTTCACACATTTTTATTAATTTTGATTATTAATCTTAATTCATTTGGTTTTAGAATTGAAAATTATAAATAGTGTATAAAAAGTGAAAGTGTGTGTGTGAAAAAAGCTACTCATTCGGAATTGATTGGTTAGAAAACACAAAGGTTTTAATAGGATAATAATGGTAAGAGGTCTTAAAGTCGATTCTTGCTAAAAACGAATTTGAATCAATTTATTCTTTTTTTCCTTTCACAAACTTGGCCCACTTTTGGCCTTTTCTTTTTCATTTATTTATTTACTATTATTTTTTTAGACAAACGATATTATCTACATTAAAGTGGTAGATGAGTGGGCTGGGCCTCACAATGAGTTACTAATAATGTGGTTTAAATTTTTTTTTGACGAAACTCAAACTTAAAACCTCACACTTACAAATGAAGAGGAATATCACTACACCATAATATTAAATGGTATATAATGCTATTTATACACTTATTGTTACTTCTTTTACACACTCATGTTAATTTTGGTAATTGATATTTTTGAATACAATCAAAAGACCAAAAATTGAAAAAAGTGTGTGAGAAGTAAAAATGTATGTGTGAATAACATACTTCTTTGGAACTTCTTTTTTTAGATGACTTAGGGAAATATATTTATTATACTGGAAGACAAGTAGACAACAAAGACGCTTTGGCCGAGTGGTTAAGGCGTGTGCCTGCTAAGTACATGGGGTTTCCCCGCGAGAGTTCGAATCTCTCAGGCGTCGATCATTTTTTTTAATTTTCAATAGTTTTGGAAGGTCTGGGCCCTCTTTTTAATGGGCTCAATAAGAGTTATATCCATGTATTGCCCACAAAAAGAAAAAAGGCCCAAGCATTACTACACTACTTAAATCCAATATATAAGAATGTGTATTCGAACTTTGAGTGAAAAGATATAAGCACACAACTTTGACTTACGGCCCTAACTTGTATTTGATAAAATACTCGTTTGAACAAAGAAGAGTTATCAAAGTTGATTTCAGTTGATCTGTCACACCATTACGTGATATTATCAATCCACATATTATAACACGTATATTAGTTATGCTACTTATCAATGTCACCGTCACACTCAACATTTCTCCACGCATACAAAATATAAACCCTAGCAATCCCCTAAAGTTGCCAGCATAGTTTTTATCTTACGAGTTAAATCATCCCCCCAAACCCTTTGATCCGACTCCAAAATTTGCCTTTCCATCCTTCACATTCTTAAAGAAGCTTATATCAAATTTGGATTGGCTGCCCTTGTCCAGTGCCACCGGGTGGTGCAGTCGCCATTTTTCGGGCAAAGAGCTTGGAGCTGTGCTAGGAGCCTAGGAATGCTTGGTTTATGGTCGGGTCAGAGTTACCAGTGGATGTGAAATTGTAGAGCCGGTATCGGATAAATTGGCAGGGCGTTTCGCCAATGGTATGTGCCCCTGCAAGCAATTTCCCCATTAATATATATGAATGGGACGTTCGTTTTTTATTAAGTGATAGATTGTTGATAAAGTATCGATAAGTTGTCTAAGTTTTATTACCGGTAGCATGTTAATAGCAAAACGTGTCTAAGAGAGTTTGGTTACTACCTAGGGTTATGAGATCATGATCGTCGAGGCCTTTAGCAACATATTTTTGCCTTTGGGCAGCAACAGAATCGAGAGGAGAAGGTAGGTTTTGAGGCTTGAGATGACAAAGAGGTGCCGCCATGCCTTCTTTTGGTAGGCACTGTCCAACTTGGACCGTCACTCTGAAATTAATAGACTAAGAGAACACTAATCAGATACCAGTAAACTTGGGGTGGCTAATGGTATCTTATATAGAAAACGCTTAAGACGCGTGTTGAGAGGCTAGTCAATTACTAAGTCAATGAAATCTTGAGCAGCCAATGCCAAAATATCGGCACACTAGAAGATACAAGGCCTCTACTTGAGCTTTTGCCTCATCAATCACTTCGAATCCTTCCAACCTGAGATCTGGCAAGGCGTTCCTCTCAGCCGAAGCACTCTTGATAAAAAACCGAACCATCAAAACCCTGCAAAACATGAACACAAAATGACTCAAGTTAACAAAATTAATGAAGATGCATACGTAGATTAGATCAGTTGGTTAAAACAGTGTGCTAACATACAAGAACGAATCAATCGTGGAAGTGAAGCCTAAGCAAGCCTGCACCATGTACCACTACTCTTGTTTATACTTGGAATGCTTGCCTTGTTCCATTGGAATTTCATGAAATATCCTTTATTAGTGGAACGTGTGGGGCCATGTATGTAAACTTCAAATTTTACGGATATGAAAACTTCATAGGGAAGCTTTTACGAAGGCATGAAATTTCCTTATTTGGATTCTACTCGACCTCACGCAGGTCAGACACTTATAAAATACGTTTCACGGTATTTGGATGTCATTCAATCCCACACAAGTACAACATTCTATAGAAAATCTTAATGTATATTTCATTGTCAAAACAGTTTACAAGATTAAGCATAAATAGAAGAATAATCGGGAAAAAAAGAGGAGAGGGGGACAATGGCAGCTAAGCAAGTCAGCTAAGCAAGCATGAAAGTATGATGACCTCCACATTCTAACACATGCTTTACAGCTTATTAACAAGCTTTACACAGAAGAGGGAATAACACAGCTCACTAAACCCTAGCTAAACACAGCTTTACAGCTATTAGGGTTTAAAGAATATTCAATAATATTCAATACTCCCCCTCAAGCTGGATCGAGAGATTTTCTGGATCCAAGCTTGAAGAGAATACGATCAAGTTGAGAAGAAGGAAGGGGCTTGGTGAACACATCGGCTAGTTGATCACTGGAGCGAACAAATGCAGTTTGTAACAGCTTGGACTGGACTTGGTTGCGGACGAAATGACAGTCAACCTCGATATGCTTTGTTCGTTCATGAAAAAGACGGGGTTGGCAGCAATATGCATCGCTGCTTGATTCTCACAGTGGAGGAGAATTGGCTTGGAAGAGATGATGTCAAGATCATGTAGCAAACTCTTTAGCCAAATTAGTTCGCATGCAGTAGATGCCATTGCACGGTACTCAGCTTCTGCGCTGGACCGAGCTACAACAGATTGCTTTTTGCTCTTCCACGTGACGAGGTTACCACCTACAAGAGTGCAGTAACCAGTTGTGGACTTGCGATCAAGGACGTTGCCTGCCCAATCAGAGTCTGTGTATCCTTCAATGGTGAAGTGTCCGTTGTTTTGCATGAAAATCCCGGTAGACATTGAGCTTTTTTAAGTTATCGAAGGATCCTTTTAACTAGTTGCAGATGATGAGATGTGGGAGAATGCATGAACTGGCTGACAAAGCTAACAGCATATAAGCAATGTCAGGTCGAGTTATAGTCAAATAGATAAGTTTTCCTACCAACCTTTGATACTCCGATACATTTTTCAAGCTGGATGCCTGAGGTTTCATGCTTGAAAATTTGTTGGTAGAGGTGTTTTAGCAGGTTTGCAATGCATCATATTGGCTTCTTCTAAAAGATCGAGAACGTACTTTTGTTGATTTAGAAACAACCCCGTTGGAGATTGATCCATTTCGATTCCGAGAAAGTATCTAAGTCTGCTGAGATCTTTGATTGAGAATGTTGAATGTAAGGTGGCTTTGAGAGCATTGATTTTCTTCTGGATTATCTCCTGTGACAATGAGATCATCAACATAAATAAGTACCACCAATCTTCCATGTGTGCCAAGCCTAGTGAACATTGAAGAATCTGCATTGCTTCGTTTAAAACCGGATGACATAAGGACAGAGCTTAGTTTTGAGTACCAAGCCCTTGGAGATTGCTTGAGACCGTAAATGGCCTTGTGAAGCTTGCATACTACTCCTTGTTCCTTCTCTTGTTCATGACCAGGTGGTAGGCGCATGTACACTTCTTCTTCCAACTCTCCATGAAGAAAAGCGTTTTTTTTACATCCATTTGATGTAGAGACCATTGTGAATTGATAGCCACCGAAAGAAGAACTCTAACTGTGTTCATCTTTGCCACCGGGGCAAAGGTTTCTTTGTAATCTACCCCGTAGGTTTGCGTGAAGCCCCTTGCAACTAACCTTGCCTTGTGCCGCTGGATGGTTCCATCTGAGTTAAAATTTTGTCTTGTAAATCCATCTTGCCCCAACCACACGTTGATCTTTTGGCAGAGAAACAATGCTCCAAGTTTTAGTTTTCTTCGAGTGCCTTCAGTTCCTCAAGCATAGCACATCTCCATATAGGAGATTGGTTTGCCTCTTCGAAGGATCGAGGCTCCGAGTGTTGAGATAACTTAGTGACAAATGCTGCATGAGATGGAGAGGTCTTGCTATGGTAAACCATTTGTCCAATAGGATATCTAGGCATGTAGATTTCAAAATCATCAAGCGTGGCTGGAGGTTGTCTGTTTCGAGAAGGATTCCTTCGTGGAGGAGTAGGTTGTTCAAGGGGCTCTCTCCTTTCGTGGAGGACTTCTTCATTATTTGCTTCCATATTTTCATGAGCTGGCTCTATCTCAATTGCTTCATTGTGCGGTGTTGACAGTCTTGGATCATCAAGGACGAGATGAGTGGGAAACACTTCATATGAGAGCTCCCCCTGAGGTTCATCATCATGCTTCTGAAAGAAGAAGTGTGTCTCATCAAACCGTACATCCCTGGATACAAACACCTTTCTGGTTTTAGAATCATAGCATTTGTATCCCTTTTGGGAAGTTGAGTAGCCTACGAATGCACACACTTGATAGCCCTTGGATCAAGTTTATCTCGGTGAATAGTTTGAATATGCACATAGCACACACATCCAAACACACGGAGATGACTTATGTCAATCTCTCTCCCCTTGAGAATTTGACAAGAAGATTTAAACTTCAAGATTCTGCTAGGAAGTCGATTTATGATGTATGCAGCGGTTTGTATAGCTTGGGATCAGAACTTCTTTGGAAGGTTTGCTTGTAACATTAGTGATCGTGTTTTCTCAAGCAAATCTCGGTTCTTCCTTTCTGAAATGCCATTTTGTTGTGGTGTTTCCTACACAACTAGTTTGTTGCAAGATTCCATGCTCACTTAAGTAAGTTGTCATGATTTTGGAAGTATACTCAGAGCCATTATCAGACCTTAAGATGCCAATATTAGAGTTAAAATGATTGTGAACTAAGTTATGAAAATTTTTGAAACACTGGAAAGCTTCGTGCTTGAATTTAAGTAAATACACAAAGGTAGTTCTAGAGAAATCATCAATGAAAGAGATGAAGAATCTGTAGCCATCAAAAGACTCTAAGGTTGCAGGTCCCCAAATGTCGGAATGGACAATTTCAAACACTTTGGTAGCTCTAGAGAGAGAATGGGGAAAGGGTAACCTTGTGGACTTAGATTTTTGACAAACTTCACAATCTGAAATCTCTTTACAGAAACTAGGAAAAATAAAAGACATAACATGGGAAGAAGGATGAGCTAATCTCATGTGCCACAGCTGCTCCTTGTTTACTGTGTTTTGAGTTTACGTAGAAACCTTTTGGAAAACTTGAAGAGAGATTGACATAGTACAGTCCATTGAGGAAGAAACCTTTACCAATCGTTTCCTTCGAAACTCGGTCCTGGAAAATCACACAGTGAGTGGAAAAAATTGCAAGACAATTTAGCAATTGTGTTATTCTTCCTACTGACAGCAACTTGAAAGGAAAGGAAGGGACATGCATGACAAGGGATTCCTTTTTACTTGAGAAGATTTTGAGTTTTCCTATGCCTACTATACTAACTTTGGTGCCATTAGCTACGGAGACAAAAGAAGGAGTGGAGAAGTTTTGAAAATCATTTAGTAAAGATGCATCATTAGTCATGTGATCAGAAGCTCCTGAGTCGACTATCCAAAAACCACGGCTACTACTAAGATCCAATGCAGTGGAAATAGTTGTTGCAACAATACCTGGCACATCATTTTGTGACACTGAGCTTGATTGTTCGAGGAAACCAGCAAACTTGCCGAGCATGGCTGCAGGATTTTCATGATTTTGTTGTCCCTTGTTTCTGTTGCAGGAAGTTAGCAAATTCATTTATGAGAGTAATGGGACTAGAAGAAGAGTTCATCACATTTTTGGAGACATTGTCGCAAACAAGGTTTCCTTGAGGAGTGTAGGCAGGCTTCATTTGGTTTCTTGGTGCTCTTCCATCATCATTGAACTTGGGTTTAAGTTCTGGATGAAGAATCCAGCACTTTTCTTTTATGTGTCCAATGCCTGGACGGCCTATTTTCACACAGTGAGAACACTTTAAGTCTGGTCGTTTTCCCTTGTATGGTCTGAAAGAGGTGAAGGCTCTTGCTTCTGATGGCCTAAGATCTGATTCTCCAACGACAACGACTGCATTCATGACCTTCTTCCTTATTTCTTCGCGTTGAATAACGTTGCAGACCATCTGGAAGGTGGGAAGTTCAGGTGTCATCAGGAGATGACTTTTAAGGTCCTCATATTCTGGTCCGATGCTGGCAAGCAACTGGAACACTTTGTCTTCTTCAGCACGCTTTAAAAGAATGGTTGTTGTGTCCGTGGTATGAGGTCTGTAGAGATCCAATTCATTCCATTTGGCCTTCAAGTTGCCAAGATGTTGAACAAAAGAGAGATTTCCCTGTTGTAATTCTGTAAGATCTTTCTTCAGCTGGAAGACTCGCGCGCAGCATTGTTTAGATCTCCATACATGTCTCGTACAGAAATCCAAACGTGGTGAGATGATACTGAATAACTGAAAATCTCAGCCATCTTTGGTTCCATAGAATTCAACAGCCAAGACATGATAAGTTGATCTTGGGACACCCATGCTGCATAATCTTGTGAAGTTGTTTCGGGCATGATATCATCCTTTTGAATGAACTGGAGCTTTCCACGTCCTCCAAGAGCGAGAGAAATAGCTCGTGACCAAGGCAGATAGTTGAATTCGTTTAGGAGCACTGAGCTCAAACGTTGAATTGGGTTGGTATCCATAGTTTCGTTTTTTGAAACTTTCTCTGATGATGTTGCCATAATGGCTTTAACTGGTTTGAATTTGGTAGGATTTCGGAAGAACACAGATGCAGGTCCTTGAGGGATCACTGCTCTGATACCATATAGAAAATCTTAATGTATATTTCATTGTCAAAACAGTTTACAAGATTAAGCATAAATAGAAGAATAATCGGGAAAAAAAGAGGAGAGGGGGACAATGGCAGCTAAGCAAGTCAGCTAAGCAAGCATGAGAGTATGATGACCTCCACATTCTCTAACACATGCTTTACAGCTTATTAACAAGCTTTACACAGAAGAGGGAATAACACAGCTCACTAAACCCTAGCTAAACACAGCTTTACAGCTATTAGGGTTTAAAGAATATTCAATAATATTCAATACATTCAATGCCCACGGGCTCACGTGTTATAAGGATCGAACTAGCTACTAGTTAAACTGTAATACACAAGTTTTTTTTTTCTCATCCAGTGTGAAAGTTGTCATAGTCCTTGATCAAAATATCCTACCCAAATTTTTTTTTAGTTGTCAATCAAGCTTTAGAGATCATTTGGTGGTTCTCTTTGTATATTTGTGTTTTTAAAATAGTGAGATTTGGAGTGGATTTCACTATATATATATATATATATATATATATATATATATATATATATATGCATCATCCAGGTTGTGTTCAAATGTTTTTATCTTTGATTCTTTTGCTTTATTTAGTCCCTTTCCTTTACTTTTTCCTCAAATTGTTCACGTATTGGAGGTTCCCATTTACTATTTTTGGATGGAAAGTTTGATTTCATGCATGCAAATTAGTATTCTGCTTTATGAACAAGTGTAGCACTTTAAGTCCTAAGGCAGGAGAAATTTTGTTTTGTAACAGAGACTGAATTTTCGTGGCATTACCATTTAAATAAGTGCGTCTCACATGTTTAAAAAATAAAAAATAAATTAAAAAAAGTTGTTATCGACAATAGGGTTATCATGCATTTCTCTTTTATAAAGAAACAACAAGAATATAAGATAGATTTAGCTTTGCTCGAAGACGTCACACTTAAACACTAAGTCACTAATAACAACCCTCTAAAAAAATCAATAATGAAAATCGGTTAAGGTGGTTTGGACAGGTGTACCGCAAACTTAAAGATGCTTCAGTTAGAAGATTCGAGTATGAGATGGAGGTTAGGGCAAAAGGGGTAAAGGAAGACCTAGGGAAATTTGAAGACTTTAAGAATAGATATGGAATACTTGGAGCAAATGAAAGACTTGGTGCAAAACCGAACGCAATGACATTATAGGATTCATATAATAAACCCCAATTTGTGACTATGGTTCGATTGTTGTTGACAAACACTTAATCTGAATGAATCTCTAGATTTGAGTGAGATTTCTAGTTTGACAATCACACCGTTTTAGTAATCCATATGTAACGATATGGATGAACGACAAAATTGATATGTCATGGGCAGATACTCTAGCAGAAAAATTACAAGTCTCTAAAGACTCTAATTGGTCCATAAGAAAAATACAAACAAAGATTTTGTAAGTTGGACAACATTATACTTCTATTAAGCCGAAGGCTTTATTTTACATTTTACATCTGTGTTGGTAACTTAGTATATATGAAAGCATGCATAGCAGATGCATGTCAAATTTTAATTAATTAACATAACAAAAAATAAAAGGGACAACATACTCTTTCCCAAATTCCACTTCTCATAACCTATCAATCTACCTACTTTGCAAGTTGTTCCAGCACAGGGACTTTTTTCCATGCATCTTCTAATCCGGTCATCTGCAGCGGCGGCAACGAGAAGACGCTAACGGTTGAGCTGCCGCTCCTGATTTCCTTCAACGCGCGTAGCGCTGATATTATACTTTTCATGTACAAGCTCTCCATAGACTCAATCTCTGCAAGTTCCTTGGTTACTCTATGAACACCATGACTCTCGATAGGGGCAGAAGTTGAAGGATTGCGCCTGTCGTCCCCATCAGATCCTTCAGTTGAGACGGGATGGTCGTTCATGGAAAAGAGATAGTCAAGCGTTATCTCGCACTCCTTGATGAGCTTGTAGAGCAAGTCCATGGTGAAGAAGGGCTGTTGCAAGACCTTCTGGATAAAGGGCAAGCGCATAAGAGCACCAGTTCTTTTATCGTACTTCTTGAGTATCTTCACGAGTCCTGTTAGAAAAGGAAATTAGATGAGCTCGTTAAACCAAGAAATATTTCTGTCAAATGCAGGCCAGAACCTCCAAACATAAATTTAACGGATCATCTCCACCGATTCTAACAAGGCAAATATTATGATTAAGGCACCAGTCTGTAAAGTCACATATAACTAGTATTCATCTGCGCACAATGGTTTTCTTTCGATGAAAGTGTGTATTCAACAATATTTTAAAAGGCGAAGGGGTAGATGAGGCGCGAAAGCCTTCAGGCGTGAGGGTGTTGGACCTAAATTTTTTAATATATATTTATATTATTATATGTATAATATAATGCTTTGTAAAACAAATTAATCAACAATCAAACAAGAAATAAAACTGACCAAAACGATGTCGTTTTGTGCCAAGTCATTTAAAAAAGTGAAACGACTTGGCCACAATAGTGTCGTTTTGGGCCAAGTCATTTGAAAAAAACCTATCTTCTACATCGCGGTCGTCTTCTTCGTGGAAGACGGAGCCGCAACACAACACGGAGCCAGAACATCATAGACCTAGCCTTCGACTTCGAGGGTCACCAGGAAATTTTAAGTAACGATTTCTATCGAAGAAGGGTCCTGGGAACGCCCAATCAATGCCTCGGGCGCGCCTCAAACACGTCTAAGTGAGTTTAAGTTTACTCCCGCCTAAACATATATTCTTTGAAGTACATTACCAGATTAATTGTTCGTCATGTCCTTCATTTAAACTCGTCAAATTTAAGACACCTAAACAACTATTAGTGCTTTCTTACAAAGGTCACTGAGATCTCAAACCTACAAGTGCTAAACAACGAGGTTCGCAATAATTAAGAATCAATACTAACAAAGCATATAGATAATGTTTCGACAGATCTATCAACACACGCAACAATAAATATCGAAATACTATTGATCAAGCGTCTTGAATCTCAGTATTTAAAAGAACGAAGCAAGAGATCAAAAGCTCAATATACCTGTATAGTTGAGAGCACTGTAATTCTCCAACAGAACCATCTCTCCGTGGAAGTCCACAATCTCCTTGCGGATCTTCATAATCTCGTCCGGGAAAGGCTTTGCTTTCGCCACCCTGTCTTGTATCTCCTGCATTCCGTACACATACACAGTTCATCTCCGTCCCAAAATAAGAAATTTTGCAACATTATAGACTTATAGCAATCAATAAACATTGATCAACGACCCTCGACGTGAGAAGGGCTTCCATGCAACGGGATGACACTGTAACGATTTCAATTACGCGCGTGAGAACGTTAAAGGTGCATGACAATTGTTTGCTTGGATACTGTCACAATTACATCCGTGCCGTGCTAGGTTTCTGCCCCAAAAAGGGCGCAAGTTAGCACCGATTACATTTCCGGAACCAGACGGTGTTTCTTAACTAGCGGAATATACCGCAACGAAAGCACCTCAGCCACTACATGTGTAGATCACAAGTGTAACGGCAAAGCGCCAAAGGCTAACGGCTAACGGTCACTTGAGCAGTCTCTGCAGGCGCATGCTAAGCTTAAAGCGCACAGCAGATCAAACGGTGTCGTTTGGAAAATTAAAGTCGAAATTAAGAAAATTAATTAGGAAATTAAAGTGTTGAACTCCAAATTTAGAGATAAATCTAGCAAATTAAACTTCAAATTTTAGAAATTAAGTGATGGTTATAGAAATATGTTACTTAATTAGCCTAAGACTGTTTGGTTCCAGAGAAAAGAAAGTTGGAGAATTTTCTCAGGAACCAAACAACTGAATAAGAAAGTTAAATTAAAAGACAATACCTTCAATCTAATAATGTATTCTTCCTCCTTCTCGAGGAAGAAGGAGTTAAATTTTTCGAGCTCGTCCTCCAACAACGTAATGAAACTGATCTCCGCCGCAGAAATGCCCTCCTTGTTGCCGCCGTCGTTACAATCGGCGGCGGAGGCGTCAATTCTGGGGCGCTTGGCGGGGCGTTCGCCACCTTTGGGTTCGATGAGCTTCAACCGCTTCTTGAGCTCTTTGTAGGACAAGAACTTGTCCCGCCATTCCGGCAGGGTCTCTTCCATCTGGTTGCTCAGGCTCTTACCGAACTTCATCTTAAAATATTTTTTTCTGTTTGGTTAGAGAGAAAATGATTGGAATGTTCTCGGGAAAATGGTGAAAATGGGAGGGTGTTGATGGAGGGTAAAGGGTGGGGAATATAACGGCGAGGATGGAATATTCTGAGGGTTAATGTTGGAATATCCTTTTGTTTTCGAAGAGTATATTTCGGGTTTTATTCCCTTTTCTTTTTCTCGGTTCACATCTTAAGTTTTGTGACCGAGATAGATAGGCTGATTTATTATTTATTTTATATGGCTCCAAGATAGTATCCACGTTTAAGTGAGTGAGAACTTTTTCAATATACTTAAAGACGAGTGTAAAAATCTCGCGTTAATGCATATTATAATATGTGGTATACTGATTCATGTTTCGAGAATATAAAATAATTTTCACATAAATGAGTAAGCTGAGTCGTGGTGGGCGACCACTATGGGGCTAGGACTTCAAATCTTCTGATTTAAACAAAAGGAAAGGGATTCTGTCTTGATCCCTTCCACCAAATTTATCAATTCGGATCTTTAAAATTTGATCCAATGGTTAAAAACAAGGACATTTTTTAAAAGTTATAATAACTTTAGTTGTTAGATCAATTTTCAAATGTCCAAATTGGTGAATTTGATAGAAGGGATTCGGAGATGATCCATTTCCTGAACAAAAGAGCTAATACCAATGTAATATTGGTAATCCAAGTGTTATAACATTAATGATAGAGCTCGTTTGATAAATGATTTTAAATGAATGAAACCGTTGTTAGAAAAAATGTTTTTAAGTACAAAAGCATTGATATGTTTTTAGTGTTTATTGAAAAAAGCACATAACTGATATTTTTTGTTTAGACAGTGCAAGCACTTTTTCATAATTGATTTTCTTGGTACGGTAAAGTATTTTTTAGTTGGGTGTATGGTAGGATAAATTTTCATTGTAAACGTATTTTTATGTTAGTAGTGAGAAATTTTATTTTTTAAGTTATTAACATTTTAATACACATATCTTTCTATTTGTACATATTTCTGTTACATTGAAAAATCTCTTTGATGAGGCTTGTTTTGGTAATTTACGACGCATGGTATAATTGCGAGAGATATACCTTATCTCATGGAGCAAATACAAGATTGAATTAAAAAATCCACGTGGCTATCTTCAATGCGAGTAAAATCCTTGCCGTGGCATTTGCCACGTGTTCTAGTCGAAAAACAAAGCAAGGAACATGTCCCCCAATTTGTGAATTTTGTCCTTCGAATTTTCGGGTTCACGGACAAGATTCGGATATGTCTCTGGGATATTCTTCGCTTCCGAGTTTTCAAAGTCTTGAAAGTTGAAAGATGTACGGGAAATATAGGTAGACGTGACTTTCTCAAATTAAAACTTTTTAAAGCGTTTTTGTTACTTTACAATTTAACATAATTTTTGTGTTAATATTATTAAGTATTGTGTCAAAAATATGAGGTGATGAAGAATTTATGTAGAGTTGGTGAGAGTCTACTCATCATTTCACTTATAATATATGTACATTTTCGAAGCAGACAAATGTGTTGAATTCATACAGTTAAAAACAAAATAGTTACACGTAGACCTGTCGGTAGGTCAGATGTTGACTAGTAGGATATGAATTTGTTTTTTTTATTATTATTTGATCTGATTATGATTTAAGATAAATGTTAAGGAGACTCTTTCAAAATGGGACACTTCATGAAATCTCTGTTACCGCACAATTTAACGCTAATTCTAAAGCCAACATTATAAAACAATTTGTCAACAACATGAGGAGACAGAGAGTTCCTAAAAAGTCATATTCTTGACTCTTAAGAGAGTCTCCTTAGCATTTCTCAATGATTTAAACTTGTTAACTGAACAAATTAATAAAGATGAATTATTGGATTCAATCCAAATCAATGTAATGTATAAACAACTATTGGATTGATTTTTGTAACTCATTTAAGAATCTCTTATTCACAATTAAAGTTACTTGTCACATTGATTAGAACATACGTATACATTTCTATGCAACAACGTATGGATTTTCTTATCTTGTAATTTAGCTTAGTTTTTGAAAATTCAAATCCTATAATCTGATATGACCTTCGTCAACTTAGTAAATAGGATATGAAATTGTTAATAAGAAAGTTTTATAATTATCATCAATTTTGGTCAAGCGACCTTTCTTACAAATCTTATCTAACACAAGTTATTCAGTCCAAACTCAATCTACATACAATTTTAGTTTCATGACAAAACGCGTTACACAATTTGTATAACTGTGCAGATTACAGAAAAAGACAGTGTTGAACTCCTTATACTTAAAAAACGAATACTTCATTACATAACTACGTGATATATCTCACTCTACAAACGTCATAATCCGAACTCTTTTTCCGAACTCTTTGTGAGAATTTAGGTCAAAGTTACAAGCTAGAAGAGGAAAAAAGGCCTAGGAGGGCCTTGGGCATATTCTCCTTTGGGTTCCCTAGAGATCCCATCCCATGTATGTCACGAGTTTATACAAACAATTCAAGGCCGGCGGCCGTTCCATTTTTTATATTTCTATCCTTAATTTTCCCACCCAACACTATTTTATTTACACCCAATTGCCCATGCCATCCCTATCAACCAAATCTACTAATACTATATTGGGGGTATATTTTATGTGCCAAAGGCATCTTCCTGCAACCTTAAAATTTTTGTTTTGGCCACTTCACAAAATTGCTTGTTCCCCAACCATGACAGCAAGTCGATCTTTCTTTCTGCCTTTATGTTTTTATGTGTAGGGATACATTCAGAACTTGTTTGAAAGTGTTTTTGAAATGATTGAGAAGGGTTTTGGTAAAAATGTTGCGGAAACCATTCTTTAGTAAAAATCTAAGTAAATCATAGAAAAGCTCTTTAAGTGTTTCCTGCAAAAAATATGTATTTGATGCTTCTTTTAATTTCAATTTCACTACATGCGCTTTCAGTCATCTTCAAAGCACTTTTAAACGGATCTTACATTATCAGAAGAAGTCACCATAAATTTATTTGGTAACAAATTCTATATGCATGATGTTGAACTTAAGATTTCCCATTTACAAATGAAAAAAAAAGTTACTAAATCGCTGTGCTGTAGCATATAAAAAACATGAATAAAGCCCATGTTTAAATCACTAATTTATTTACCAATTAGCATTCCTTTCATATCATTATGGTCGTTGGAATTTAGCCCAGCTAACTCCAATTTTAATAATCTTATAAAAGTGGAGCAGATTTGCACTTTTGGTAAACAAATGAAATATTATATGATATCATAACAGAAATCTCTCGTAAATGCAAATGGCATCTAAGGGAAGACATTTCAGGATATTCTTAAATCCCTTTGGAATAATTATGAATATTACATATATTAATGCCATGAGGGCGAGTTGTGGCGCAATAAAAATGTCACTCTTTTGTGACTAAAGGTCACAACTTTAAGTCATGAAAATAATTTCTTTATAAAAATAATTTCTTTATAAAACAAATATAAGGCTGCGTTACTTTATCTCTCGATCTTTGTAAAGCAGAAAGACTTACTAGTTTGTGGTGGCCCTTTACATATATTAATGGTATAATGTTTCATCTGACGAAACCAGTCCAGCAATTGATTCGAATATGGGCCTGTAACCGGTCTAGCAATTCAAGCACTACTAGTACATTCTTTTCACACAAAATGGGCCAGAAATTATTCTCAAAACCTATTTTTTTGGTGCAAACAATAAAACCATCCTACAAACCTAGACTCCTTTGAAACGAGAAGTGTTTGAATGCGATTGTTCTATGCGACAACTCACTCACGAAGTTAAAGAGCTATCATATGGATCAATTAACCGTTTCACAGTTTTGTGGGTGTGCTACAACATAGGACAACTGCATTCAAACACTTCTCGTTTCAAATCACCATGATCCCAATTGTCGAAATGTTTTGGTCATGCTAACATGCTCTCACGTGTACGTGATCATTAAGCTCGTATTCAACATGAGATGACAACTACACATGTATTTGAAAATACAAGCTGATACTATTGACAATCAAATACAAACGAATACATTAGCATCATCGGCCAAAATATTAAAAGTTCATATCGCCTCAAATGCTCTCACACAAACGCAACATTTTCTTTGAAACCATGAGCAACAACAGGACGCGCTGCCTTGTTACATATTAGAAATCCCATGTTCGGACTTTTTGGAAAGAAAAAAATTACAGCTTACAATCACATGGTTCCATGCCTAATTACACCGAGACTTTTATGATATAACACCACTTTTGTTGAGCTAACAATTTGGTTAAGTTGATGTCAATATCGATGTTGGACCATTTGGTCAATCCCTATGCAGCTTTGACAAAGCATGGGAACAAAGTTGAAAACAATGACACTAAATTGGGAGGCCAAGAAACATATATCATGGACATTGCTTTCCAGTTTCCACTGATAAATCCATGATTTCCCTTCAAATAATCATGTCCACGAGTGCCTCAAATATAATTAGTTAGTTTGTCTTAAACTTAATCAAGACGTATTAATGTACGTACATGTATATAAACATGGAAAATTATGTACAAAAATGATACAATTTCTTGGGGGACTTCTGGCACCTGCAAGAATTTGAATTATTTTTGTATATTTTTGTTAATTTTTCTTTTATTTCTCCTACCACTATAATAAACTATCGTATTCATGTTCTTCAAAATATATTTTTCCGTATGTGGAGCTTGACTCTTTTTCAGAGCACCTCGGAGTTCACCTCGTTCTGTGTGCTCAAAGCCCACCTCATCTTGTGTGTCGAGGTTCGTCTCGTTCTGCATGTGAGGTGGCCGCATCATTTTGTGTTCTAGAAGCCAGCCCCTTTTTACGTTCACGGAGCACGCGTCGTTTTGGCGTGCATAGAGCCAGCCTCGCTTTTTATGCGCACCTCAATTTGTGCATCATGCCCTGTCTCGTTTTTCATGCGCAGAGCTCACCTCGTTTTGCATGCCCAAAAGCCCGTCCCGTTTCCTGTGAGACGAGCCCTCCTTGTTTTGTGTGCTATGGTTCACCTCGTTCTACGTGAGCTGAGTTAACCTCCTTTTGCATGCGTCGA